AAGAATAAAGTCGAAACATTCCCTTGGGTAGTGAAAAAAAATATCACTCATTCAGAACAGTTACGAAACAGGCAATCTTGTGTTAAAGTTGTGTGGTACTGATTTGATGGTTCTATTTGGCATTCACACATCACAGTTGTTCAAACAAGCAAAAAATAATAAAATACACGCAAATATCTAAAAATACAAAGACAATGCCATTTAGATGAAATTACTAAATCGATAATATAACATTAGCGGTTAGCTCGTCGACCTCACAGTGCAGACGTTGTGGGTTCGATCCGGGTTCCGGCCTTCCTGTGTGGAGTTTGCATGTTCTCCCTGTACGTGCGTGGGTTTTCTCCGGGTACTCCGGTTTCCTCCCACATTCCAAAAACATGTGTGGCAGACTGATTGAACACTCCAAATTGTCCCTAGGTGTGAGTGTGAGCGTGGACAGTTGTTCGTCTCTGTGTGCCCTGCGATTGGCAACTGGTTCGGGGTGTCCCCCGCCGACTGCCCGAAGACGGCTGGGATTGCCTCCACCACCCCCGCGACCCTTGTGAGGATAAAGTGGATCGGAAAATGGATGGAATGAATTACATGCCATAGAATTTGTTGGGAATTCCGAGAAGAGTGCCCTGCAGCCTCGCTAGGAATAAAAGTATCCACAGTGGAATTCCTTCTTCCAGGTTCTTGCAATGTTTATAAGTGATGCTGTATCCCAATGAAATTCCAATACACTAGACTTGTCTTTGAATAGTCAATGAAACAACTGGGAAGTACAAAACATCAGCACTGGGTCGTACATCATTCTTTCGTGGAAGTCGGGCGGCCTACGTGATCTTAATCAGTGCCAGTTCTCCTTCCCAGGAACAGCTTCCTTTTCTAAAAACTACAGTAAATAAATAAATAGAATAAAGTCTGCCCTTAAATTCCAACAATTCATATGATCATTTCCCTCATTTCATAATAAGTTACCTAACAAGCTATGCAGGCACGACGTCGGCAGTGACGCCATTTGATGACATCACGCGGCCTCCCGACAGCTTTAATACTTTAGCGCTTGCTTGTCACATCACATTTCCGTTTGAAACAAAGTTCAGTCCTCACAAGAGGCACAAGAGCCCACGTCATGGCATAAATGTCCAATTGTAGTTGCTTCAAAAGAGGGTGCGCTTTAAAAATGGATAACAAGTGGAGTGGCTTGCATAATTTATCGTGGTTTGTTACGCAAGCGTTCCTAATGGGAGTCTGACTGACTATTGTCTCCTCCGAATTGTCACACGAATCGTAAAGTGTTTACGAGATGTCTGATTGGGATTATGAGCGTATTAAAAACGCAGGTGGAGTTCCACCTTTCTGTCAGAGGGGAGGCAGCGAGAAGGAAAGAAGCGCACCCTTCCCCGATCTCTTGTTGCCGCTACTTAGCCGGCGCTCGTGCTGAGCCAGCGCATTAGCCATGCAAGCATCCATCCACAGTGCAGCCTGTCACTTATGCACAAGTCAGCGGAAAAAAAAAAAATCGACGGGCATGAGATGCCTTCCTCCACTCGCTGCCGGCCTCGTTCGGGGACTATTACCACTTTCTTTGTCATCAAATATCATTTTATTGAGAAGATGAAATGAATGCATCAGTTGTGTTGGTCACAGCAGGCCCGACTAACTTGCTGCCTAGAAGAGCTGACGTCGGGAATGGGTATGAATGACCAGGTCAACAATGTGCAGAGAAAGTAAAATATGTTTCGGAAAATAAGTGTGTTGTGAGGGTGGACTCATTTACTGCCTAGAAGGGCTGCTGTCGTAATTAAATGTCAAAGTAAACAAAGTACAAGTAAAGTGAAATCTGTTGCATTGAATAAATGGGTTGGAAGTGTCTTGAAGGAATGTAGGCCATATTAATTTCATCAACCAGGGGCACAACTGGGCCAGGCCCGACCAGCTAGCTGCCGGAGCGGGTTCATTGAGAGTCATATGACAAGGAAACAAGATTGGTAGGCCCAACTAGTTTGCCGTCTAAAAGGTCTGCTGTAGGAAATGCATGTTTAAAAAAAGAAAAATAAGAAGCATAGTATACAGTACATATCCAGAAATAAAGAAACATAGCATTCAAACAGACTGTAAGCCCGATGAGGTAGCTGACTAAAAGTTCTGCTGTTGTGAATGCGTTTGAGAGAACAATGAAAAGTCTGCAGTCAGAGTAAAATTTGTCAAGTCAAACAAAAAATATAGGCTTGACTATTTTGTTACCTAAAAGGGTTGCGGTGGCAACTGAATAAACGAGTGGGCAAGGTCCAGGTCCCCGAGAAACACTCTTCTGCATGTTTTCGATGTTTCCCTCCTGCAACACATCTGATTCAAACGAACAGAATGAGAGCCTGATATTGAGTCTGAGCTCTGAGAATCAGAGCTCGGTGTTGATTCTGATCATTTGAATCAGATGTGTTGGAGGAGAGAATCATCAAAGACTTGCAGGATAGTGGCTCTTAAGGCCCCTGTGCCTTATTCATTTCATAAATCAGGGCCACATTTGGTCCAGGCCAGTTACCTGCCAAAAAAGGGCTGTCCCTGTTCTCTTTCTTTCTTTATTTATTTGGGAAAACAATGAACAAATGTTGTCAAGTCGAATAAATGTTGTGCAGTGAGCATCTTGAAGGAATCTAGGCCCGACTAGCTAGCTCCCTGAAAGGACTGCCGTGGCCCCAATATAAGAAGTTGTTTATCGTACCGCTTCTCATTAGGAGAGCGCGTCACTTATTTTGAGCAAGAGCCTCGGGGGAGGGGGGGGGTCTTCTATGAAAGAAGTCCTGCGTGCGTGGCGGTGCCATCGTTAGCGCCGAGGAGCTTCGGCGTCTCTTTTGTGTTCTCAGGATGGAAGTTTTATCAAAGTTCCTCATCCGGAGAGCAGGCGCGGCGCGTAGATCAATGTCCGTCTATATTGAGAAGCCAATTAATTTCCTTCACCGGAGAAGTCGCGCATGCGCCAATTAGGCAAAGTTGAGTCAGCGTGGGAACACGTTTGCATGGCGCCCAGGTGCATTGGCAGGAGACATACTTTTTTAAATCCCCAACTCCCATTATGTAGCCAATAATATGTAATATGCAAAGATCTGCTCGAGATGAATAGAAACAAGATCTGGGGTGCAAATCAAAAGTAAAATGAAGGACATCACTGCCCTCTGCTGGTTGTCAAACTACAATACATGATTAATGAAATCAGATCTGATGGTTGCTGGTACAAAAAAAATGAATCCAATAGCAAATTACTGCTATGGTAAACACTTAAAACAAGATGCAGGTGTGTATATATAAAAGATGTAATAAAATTAAATAAATGTGTGTGAGTGCTCATGATATTTTTTAAAAATTACAGCAACCATCATTGATTTTGACCGATAACATGCGTAACTCAAATGGGAAGAAAATATGTATTTTCCATAGGGCAAATAAGCAATAAGAAACAAATGAGATCATGTGGTTGCTTAAGTGTGGACACCCTCTCCTGACTCGTGATGTGGCTGTTTTCAGAATTTCACAGGCCATCATGTTACATGGGAGTCAGCACACATTTGTCACTCATTGAAGTGCCACTGATGACCTCTGAGCAAATTTCAGTTGTTCTGGGAGGCTTTTTGCGGCTGGTTGGTTCGGCGATTTTTGCTTAAAATGGCTGCTATTTAAATTTGTCTCAAAATGTTCAACCTTGATTTCATCAGATCATTTTCTCATATGTGTCTGGAACATTTCAGGGGAGTTCATGTCAAATTTTGATATGTACAAGTAAATAACTTAAAAAGTAAAACAATGCACTGCCTCAAACGCAGACAGACCCACAGGCTTTGAGTAATGTCCTTCCATTCTGTGAGCAAAATCATATTTTATACGATTTATATTTCAATTGAAGTTCCCAACTTCATTATCCGACAATAGTGACGTACAAGTTGTATTTCATTCTGGTTCCCTCCCGCAAGCCCCGTGACGAACTCTCTTGTGTCCACACTCTCATCACGTGTGCTGTGGCTTGTTCATGTGCGCAAAGAAAACCTGCGGGTGACGGGGTAGTGGTGGTCATGTGGGACCATGTGACTCGGCCTTTTCAGATAATCCTCGCCTTTGATTTAAAAAAAAAAAAAAAACAGGGAAAAAAGGCAGAATGTGAGTGAGTTGTAGTGTTTAATTGGACTTTCTCTTGATTTCTTTATTATTCTACCTGGTTATGACTCATTGGAAGAAATAGTATACGAACAATACACTTACAGTATGTGTTAAATGGGAATTTAATGGAGCATTTTGGTTTTCGCTATCAGCCATTTGGAGAAATTATCCTTTTTTCCCCAAGGCAGGGGGCTGTGTCCCCTCTGGGGGTATGCTAAGGCACTCCAGGGGGTGAATGATATTTTAAAATAAATTTTAAAAGTAGCATCATTGCAAAAAAACGTAAAAGTACCGCTAAGTTAAAAATGATGTAAAGATTTCAGTAAAGTAAGTTCATCAAATGAGTTTTATATTCAGTGGGCTATTCAATTTCAAAATTAAAATGAAATTCAAGATGTCTTTTTGAGAACAACTTTATACGATGATTCTAAAGGAGGACACTTCCCGACGATCATTTTAGGTGCACGAATCTTTATTGACACGGATTTATTTATCTCTTTTTTTTTTGGTTTCATCTTTTCAATTGCAAATAGTTCAAGAGTGACCGCTATACAAATGGAATTCCAAAGTTTAATAAACGCCAAAGTTGTGTGTTTACAAATCAAGTTAGCTCATAAGTGAGAAGTCAAGTCAAGTATAGACAGCTGAGAAATCAATTTGGTTACAATGTTTTTGTCCCTAAAATAGTAAGCATTGAATGATAGGACCCTAAAAGGAAGCCTTGTGACTTTTCTTTTCCTTTTTCCTTTCATGCCACAAAATCCACAGGAGAGGGGCTTGAGGAAACGCTGTAGATGTTCGTGCGTGATTGGATCACGCGGGCAGGGGCGGAAAAAAAAAACGGGTAGTCATGTGCTAATCTGCTCTTTAAAATCGCTTCACTTGTTTGGGGGTGGCGGGGAGCGTGGGTCAAATTGAGGCGGGGTGGTCTGGAAAAGAGAACTCGGGAGCACAGCTGGGCGCGACTCATTCGGACGCAATGTGGCAGTGCTGCTGTTTACTGGTCGTGCTGGGCTCGCTTCCGGTGGGCGCCCAGTTCCCCAGAGAGTGCGTGACCCCCGAGGGGCTCCAGAGCGGCCAGTGTTGCCCGTCCCCGCCGGGTCTCGACGCAGGCCCGTGCGGCTCCGGCGCGGGCCGCGGCCAGTGCACGTCCGTCGCGGCGGATGCGCGACCCCACGGCCCCCAATACCCGCACGACGGTCGGGACGACAGAGAGCGCTGGCCGGTCCGTTTCTTCAACAGGACGTGCCGCTGCAGCGGCACTTTCAGCGGCTACAACTGTGGACGGTGCAGACACGGCTGGTCCGGAGACAACTGTGACCAGAGAGTGTCTGTGGGTGAGTGCGCTTCATGGGCATGACATTCGGCACACCTGTGCGGTCCAGCTAGATCACGGGTGTCAAACTCGTTTTTTGTCGCGGGCCATCTTTTAGTTACCATTTCCCTTTGTGGGCCGGGGCCGTTATGACTGAAACCATATAAAGAAGTCACTGATACCGGTTTATTCAAATATTGTTGAAGTTACTGTAATGAAGGGTTTGGTAACAAGACAATGCTTACAATAGCTCGCTACCATTTATTACATATGAGATTTTAGCAAGCATAATGGAAACTGACATGTTTGATTTGCTTTTGCGGGCCGCAGAAAATGAATTGGTGGGCCAAATCTGACCCCCGGGCCTTGAGTTTGACACCCGTGAGCTAGATGGACAATCAACTAATTGGATAAAATTGGTCTTTTTTGCATGCCGTTATATCCATCCACCCATTTTCTTATCCTCTCATCCTCACGAGGCATGCCGGAGCCTGTCCCAGCTGTCTTTGAGCACTAGGCAGGGTACAACCTGAACCGGTTGCCAGCCAATCGCAGGGCACACATAGATGAACAACCATTCACGCTCACAATCACTCCTCCGGACAATTTAGAGTGTTCCGTGAACCTGCCATGCATGTTTTTGGAATGTGGGAGGAAACTGGAGCACCTGGAAAAAACCCACGCAGGCACGGGGATAACATGTCAGAATCGAACTCTGCGCTTCTGCACTGTGAGGCTGATGTGCGAACCAGTTGGCTGCCCCATACCGACATATCAGTTTGCTGTTGCTTAGGTTTAGCATTTTAGTGCAAAGCAGAGGGGAAGGAGCTTCATTTAATCAGGACATAGCCTTGTCTAAAAGCAATAAGTGATTTGCCACCAAAATATACAGTAGCATCAATAAGCAATTATTTTTAATAAATATTTTGCCGGTAGCTGTGAAAAGGTTTTGGTCTGGTGCACCCATTGCCCCCCCCCCCAACCCCCCCCCCCTCCCCATCTTCTCATCTAATTTGTGAGAAAAAGGTTCATTTTTACCATTTAATTACTCATCTAAATGTGACACAATACCAGCGTTCCATATCACTGTTATACCCCGAGGACGAAAATGTCTGGTCTACCATTTTACAACGTGCAAAGTTAGCATTACTTTTGAAATGTTCTTCAACTTTTAAACATTTGTGGGGGGAGGGGTGGGGTGGATTCCATGGTTATTAAACAGACTCACATAAGACTAACTGACATCATGCCGGGTATATCTCCAGTGAGAAGAAATGTAATGCAGCTCAACGCCGCAGAGAAGCGAGCCTTTGTCAACGCGCTGGACCAGGCCAAGCGCACGGTGCACCCGGATCTCGTGATCGCCACCCGGCGCCACGCCGAGATCCTCGGGCCTGACGGCAACAGCACACGCTTCGAGAACATCTCCATCTACAACTACTTTGTGTGGAGCCATTACTACTCCGTCGGCAAGACCTTCCTTGGCGCCGGCCAAGCCAGTTTCGGAGGCGTGGATTTCTCCCACGAGGGTCCCGGGTTCGTCACTTGGCACCGGTACCACCTGCTCCAGCTGGAGAGAGACATGCAAGTAAGCCAACGGGCCACATTCGTATGTATTGGTTCCACTTTGACGGAAAATGGGTTTCACCACTCAGGGAAATCTGAATTAGGAATGCAAATCTCATGGTTTGGCCTTCAAAACAAATTAGACACAGCGGTTTGGAATGAAACTTTTTCTCAAGGCTGCGGGTACGGTCGCGGTTCTCCCAAAAACCATCTATCATCCAAACCACATACTAAAAAAGGAAGGATGCACGGGCTGTTTTGAAATTCTTTTGACTTTCATTTTTCAACAAACTGAAAACAAGCAAGCAAATCATTCTATACTGTTTATATTTTCTCGTTATTTTTGAGAAAACTGCTGCACACAGCAACAGCTTTCGGTTAAGGGGATAAAGCCTATAGTTTCGGATTATCAGGATTTTGGGGCGGCCTCGTCACTGTACCACACGAGACTATAGATGCACCCCGACACTTTGACACCTTTCCTTCTCACTCTGCCCACGTTCAAATTTTTATTTTTTTAAACAAGCCTTGCGGCGCCGTGTCAGATTTGTAGTAAATGCTGCAGCCGCTGAAAAATAGATGGCAGGCCGTAGTTTGAACTTTGAGGTTCATTCCATTTGAAGTGAAATACTTTGATATGCTAGCGTGTCCTACTTGGAGAACAAATTCTTTTTTTCGGGGTGTACTCGGAGTAAAAAAATTGGCCAACTTCTAATTTGCAACCAGTCTCTGAGCCTGTCTGTTGCTTTCCGTTTGGTACAAAACCCACCAGGACATGCTACAAGAGCCCACGTTCGCCCTGCCCTACTGGAACTTTGCCATCGGCGGCAGCACGTGCGACATTTGCACAGATGACCTGATGGGAGCCCGGAGCAGCTTCGACGCCGACTCGCTCAGTCCCAACTCCGTCTTTTCTCAGTGGCGGGTCATCTGCGAGAGCGTGGCCGACTATGACACGCTGGGAACCATCTGCAACAGTAAGGCCGTTGGTCCTCGCCGGCCTTACCGCGAGACTCTATTAGACCGATTATGCGTCTCCTCGCAGGCACCGAGACGTCTCCGATAAGAAGGAACCCGGGAGGTAACGTCAACAGGCCGATGGTCCAGCGTCTCCCGGAACCTCAGGATGTGGCCGACTGTCTGCAAGTCAGCACTTTTGATACGGCGCCGTTCTACTCCACTTCCTCGGAAAGCTTCAGAAACACCATTGAAGGTGAGCCAGCTGGTGGCATTTCCATCGATTTTGAATGGAGGGCTGGCGAAAAGGTTGAGGGAGCACTCCTGGAATGCGCAGAGAGGCCTGAATGTTGTTCAAGATTTCAGGCTCCACATTGGGGATTGTAGCGCCACCTTTTGGCAAACAACCGTGTGACCATTCCTGTGCCTTTTCCCCAAATGAATTTCTTCTGATTGGTTACAACTAAAAAAACTGTGCCATCTTTAGCCTTGGCATTCTTTGCTTTGTTGGGTTTCCACTTGAGAGATTTTAATCAGTAATACATTGAAAAAATAAATTAACTAAATTTGAGTACCGTATTTTCCACACTAAAAGGC